TTTCATCCAGCAGGTTGTTGTGACATTCCGTTGGTGATGAACCTACAAACGGATGGTCTGGTTCATCTTCTGCAACAATCTCAAACTGAGTAAAGAAACACAAACACACAAATCAAGTACAGGCATTCAATATGACCATACAACACAGATGGGTGTTAGCCGTGTCTGAAATGGACTTTCCAGGCTACCATTGGCATGTGCCCATGTATTTGTAACAAGCAAACACCGTTCTTTATCCTGTACATAGCAGTTATCTCTTTCATCCTGTGTAATTCTGACTTACTGTAAATTTCAGTTCACATAATACCTTATGTGGACGTTGCTGTTTTGGTGGCTTTAACAAAAGCTGGTAACTAATGTTACACTGTGAATAACTTTACCTGATTTCATGAAATGCTCCCCTCCACTTTGCAATGACCCTAACCCACAAGGTCCTCTACAATTGTATTCATACACAGTAACCTAATGAGGACTTCTGGAGTCTACATGAGGTCTCTGCCACCTTCACAAAGTGGACTACATTTTCTGATAGGTCCACAAGAGGAATTTAGTGCTTGAGAGTCATCAACTTACGACTATTAAATGACACCAATTCAACAATAAGAGAATGACATATAGACACATTTTCAAACCTTTTAAGTGGTGTAGAGTGAATAATTTTCCTGGTAAAATAAAAGTTAACGGTTATTTAAAATACCAATATACTTTTACCACAAAGGATGACCGGTGAATTACACATACTTTTTACCAAATATGAATATTCATGAGGTTGAAAAAGGAATGTTGCTAGTTTACTTCTTAGAATTGTCCCATATATATGTATATTTACCCAGTTCACTGAAAAATGTAAGATGGCATGTTCCTCTAGTCAAATTTGACTGTGAGATTTCCTTACCCTTGGTTTTTGACCTGCGTCCAGGACTTTGCAGGTGTAGAGACACAAAACGTTGGGATCTTTGGCGCTGGTGTAAGTCCGACTGCTGCAGAATCCAGACGGATAGATGCAGTGCTCATCATGATAGCCTGAACGGTCAGTTACAATCTGACCCAGGCTGTGGACAGTCAGGCTACTCAGTTTGATAGGGAAAACTGGCCTGCCTTTGAAGAAAAGAAGTCAGGACGCCAATTTCATAAAGCTGCTAAAGAAGGAGACATGCTAAGTCAAGATTATTATAGATAATAGTTTCGGAGGCCAATACTTCTGGCGATGGGCTTAACTAAAACAAGTTACATGTAAGAGCAAAACATGTCGTGGATTGTTTTATCCTTGTCACTGGGTTCCAAGCTTCTTTGCTCTATCTATGAATATTGGGTCCAAATGTGAATGGGTCTGTACATGATCTGTAGAGGGCACCTTGTAAGCCACAATCAGGGGCTAGGGTCTATTCTGAATCAACTGGCTGTGGATGGCTTTAGTCACAGATGCAGGTTAAGTGACTGGGATGTGAATGGCAGACTTCAGTTGTTTAGGGGAGTCAGACTGGCATAGTGGTTCTTTCCTCGCCTGTCACCTCTGCGGTCCGGGTTTGAATCCTGGCCCGGTCCACATGTGGATTGGGTATTCAGTCCCTACCTGAATCCGAGGGTTTTACCCAGAATACTCCTCTGGGGTTTTCCTCCCACCTCTAAAACTGCTTCTCATTGTCTCTTCTCTAGAGGTTTCTTCAAGCTTGCGAGCTACAGTGCCTAGGGCACTTTTGAGAAATCCTCGGTGTCATTACCAGAAATAAATAATAATAATAATAATAATATCTCAGTGATTACCAACAAAGTGGGCCATTAATTTCCAATTATAAATTATCTGTATCTGAGTGGCATTTTCCAAAGAATTTACAAAAGTCATGAAAAATCTTTGATAATTTGTACATTTTAACTAAAACAACCCAAAAGCAGGTCTTGAAGGTGATCACAGGGCAGATTTTGTGACTGAGAATTGCTACCTGTAGAATCTAATGGTATCTGCTGCACAAGGCGCTTAGTTGACATGCCCGATGACCTCTTGGTTTTTGACCTCACAGCATCCTTTCTTGGTTTTTCTGCAAACAGACACAGTAAATAAACAATAAAACCTTCAAGCCCTTTCTGCTTTTGAGGGGAAACAAGACATTTCTGCAAACGGCTGACAAAAGAGACAACATCAAATTATACTTACAGGACGCCGTAAAGTAAAGACAATTATTGTGGCTGTATTTTCAAATATTATATGACAACCACTTCCCCGTGTTTGCACAGTCTTCCTGAAACAACTCTTGATTTAATAATACAGTTAACTCTATTCATGAGATAATCATTTGGATCACATGTCCCCAAATCTGCTTTATCTATTAAACACTCTATAAGTGGAAGTTACCTATTTAACCAGAATTACACTTTGAAAAATAATTTTCAAAAGTTTAAAATGGCAAAAAAGGTGACATGACTTTTTATCCATAATTTGGAGCTACACATCATAACACAAGGATGGAAATCTACAGATATGCCATAATCTTATCTTCACATGTTAAATTTGAAGGAAAGTTTTATAGGGATTGTCTCGCTTTCGTTTCCACATAGCTCCTGATTGAGGTCGGGAAAAAAGGAAAATTCAATTATGGGAGATAATGGGTTAAAATAAGAAGACACATTTATACAGCAATTACTAATGATCAGGGCCATCCTGACAATATGACATGTTAATAATCCATTTTTACCTTTTTCTGTCTTTTTGGGTTTTTTGTGTTTTCTCTTGGTTTTGTTGGCTTTCTCGGCTTTTTCACGTTTGTTCAATGATCCCAGCGATGACAGATGCCCGTCGCCATCTTCACCGGTCCCATGACGCCTGGATACCAGTCGCCTGGAGGAGGGCGTGGCTTTGGAGGCAGAGGGCGGGATGTCACAGATTTCGCGATAGTGAAGGACACGTTGAAGGAGGAAAAATCGCTCTTGTTGGGCTCGCTCAACTTTCTGCTCAATGCGGCACACTTCATCGTTGAGTGCGGCATTTTCCTTGAAAATTTTGAATATGAAGTACAGTTAAAAAACACAACCATAAGATAACCAAGAAACTGGGTAAACATGCTGTCCCTTCAGGCTGGAAATCACAATGTTCAATAACACACTGTGTTCTTAAATAGTGAATAAAATTCCAACATTGGAGACACATTCTCAAATGTTTGGACATACTCTCAGCTTGAGAAATCCTCAACACAGACACCGAGTTTTCAAATCCATTTAGAAAATACCTGTTGGTGATTTGTTCATTGCAGATATTTTAGCCTGAATTTAAGTATTTGACACTGCCTAACAAAGTGAAGTTCTGAATGATTTGCACATGGCTTACTTACAAATATCATCAGTTTGATGAGTTTGCGCAGTTTGCGGTATTTAGCCTTGTAGAGCAGTGACTGTAGAGCCTCTGTGTCCTTGGCTGTTGATGTGACTCGTTTGCGTGATGTGCTGTGAACTGGCTTACTGCGTTTCTTCACTCTGTCCTCTGCTGTCTGCAGGGAAAGAAAGTTCTCATTTTCGTGAAAATTAATTCCAATAAACAAAAGGTAATCAGGTTTTTTTCTAAAGCATTAGCATCGACAGGTTGTATTGTAAATAGATCTTGTGCACCTAAACCTGAGCATCAGAGACTAGACCTCTGAATATTATTCAAAAGTAATAACTGATGTGCTGACTGTTTGTTTACATTTTTCTGTTTGATTAATTAGAGACTACTTCATGAAAACAATTGTTTCTTTTCAGATAATGGGAAATAAGACCAAACACTTTGTAAACCAAATATCTCAATCTCAAGCAAAGAATGAGGGGCGAACACCAAGTCAAGTTGTAGTTAAAAGGTGCAAATTGATGGCAAGATTTGTAAAGAAAATAGCCCCAGAAATTTTTAAAGACAGATCACTTGCTTCTTTGTTATTGTTGATTAAATCAAATGTGTAGTTGAACTAGTTGAAGAGGGACCCATTAATTGCTTGAAAATTTGCAGGCCTATCAAGGACTGGATGCACTGAGCAGGGGGGCATTTTCAAGATCTGGGCTTTGTTAACTTTGTTCATTTCCAGCTTTTATTTTGCATGATTTTATTCCCCTGAGCTGAGACAACTCCATTGAAACACTGAGTTGGTAAATCTGAGGACAAGGAATATTTTATTGGATTCAAGAAAAAATAATTGGAACTGACTGTACGGTCAGAATTGCACTGAAGACAAACATAAAGCCAGAATTTATTAGAAGCTCAAAGGCTGGATCTTTGTCACAATGAGTCCTGGCATGAACTATAGAGGGCACTCTCCTACTGCCACAGAACAGCCTTATGTGGGCACTTTGTCAATATGAACATGGACTTAATACCACATTTTCAAAATTGTTGGCTGTAAAGTGGGTACCATTATTCGGAAGACACCATTTTGTCCCTCGACACGTTTGAATCGCCGACTGCCTCGTTGTGTGTCTCGGTACAGGACTGCTTCAAGAGAAGACTTGGCATTAGACTGGACCAGACCTCGGTCTAAAATACGCTGCTTGATGTCCTTGATGTGTAGAGGGCATCCAGCTTCTTCTAAAATGACCTACCAGACAAATGTATGGAGGGCAAAATAGTCAAAATGTGAAGCCAAGCTAAATGTTGCCACCATGGCAGGAGTTAGGTACAGACTGACAGTGAAGATGCACCAATGATTTTTAATTCATTTTTGTTTGCCCGATGGTACTGCTGTAATACAGCTCAGCCAACATCAGCAGACACCATAATAATTGATAAGTCATGTAAGTGATGCAAATGAAATTCTTAGCATCTGGTTAATCTTTTCCTTTCAACTCACTGCAACAAACCAGAAGAGTTGGTACTTTTAAAATATCACTGTTTTCTGCATAATTTATTGGTGTCTTTCCACTGACTGTTAATGTTAACCACTCATGACTGAGTAAGACAGTGGCATATTCCTACTTGGGCATAGAAGTGACATTATTCCTACCTGGGCAGCATCAAGCCAGGTCATTCCTGATCGGTCACTACAATCTGACCCTGTCATGTCTCTGTAGGAAAAAAATATTTAAACAAAAATTCAATTAATCTGAGATTCTTTCGTCATTACGGCTTCCTCAAAGGTGGTTTGATTTTTTCTACAAAAATGCTGGCGGAACCAGGGCAAGTTTTAATGTTAAAGTTTGGAAAAGGATCTTGAATAATGTAAATCAATCGAGCCAGTTTTATCAATATGCCAAACTAAGTGATACTTGTGGTCACTGAAAATGGCATTTAAGACTTTTGTGAGATCCAGTCACATAAAACGGTTTGTACTGACCCTTGGCTACATTGACCTGTTGGGTTGGCAGCCACAGGAATGATACCAAGTGATCCAAAGGCATCTGGTTGTATCATGTCTGTTGGATAGTCTGGTGACAGGAGCGGCGGTGGAATGGATGGGAAGGTGGATGGGAAATTGCTGGAGTTGGCTTGTGTCTGTTGGCATGACAACACAAACTTGGGTTGAGCCAAGACAATTGACTGACAAACAGATGTGACCCTGCAACCGTTGGATTACTGTACCAGTGTTCCACCTACTGAGGTATTTGGGCTATGTCTTGCCAGCAGCTTCCATTGGCAGTCATATCTAGCCATAGCCAAGAAATCTGAACAAAGTCTCAGTCATGCTAGCTCCATGATTTCTCATCGATGAAGCCACAGTGCAAAGCAGGTACATACAGTGATGAAACAAATACATGTCATGTGATAGAGTTTGGTGTCTTAATCTGGTGAGACAAAATTAAATTAGTTGCTCTGACAGAGAAGTTAATCCTACACGTATTTCAGATTACCTACAAACAGTATTATTACTGCAGGCATCTGGCAGTTCTGGAGAGATAAGAGTATGGACTTGAATGAACACACCAGTAAGCAAACACCCTTAGTGCAGGAATTCCCCTTTTTTTGGATGAAAACTTATTTCTGTCACACTATGAGTATTTCATTTTTGATAGTAATTTTCTTGAGCATTCCTTTTCATTTTTTTTTGGACCAACCATTCTGATAGGTATTTTCTCTCAATAGTTTTTCAGAGATGAGAAACCTTGTGTGTTCCTGAATAAGCCAACACAATGTCGGCAATATATTTGCCATATGGAAATCTTTAATTCAAAAGTCCACATGAGGAACATCATGCCTTTCAGTGATTGAATGTTCAATATCATCCCCAGCACTCACTACCTGTTGCTGTTGCGTCGTTATTCCAAAGCCAGCCATGATCCCTTGCCTATCTGGGTTAGGTGCCATTCCTTGTAGGCCAAGCCCGAGGGTTGGCAATGGAAGACCGTGGGGGTGAGGTAAGCCAAACGGCAGGCCCAAGCTGGCTGCAGCAGCGGCTGCAGCTAGACTGGCACCTGGCCCAGCTAGGTCTTGTCCCCCGAGTCCTGGCATCATTCCTGGACGGAGCCGCGCTAGTTGGCTGGCTAGAGTTAGCTGGTGAGCTGAGGGCATCGGAAGCATATTAGCGACTGTGAAGGTGGGATGGATTGATAAGAAGGTTCTAAAAATGTGGGGACTCAAGAAAAATGCATTCCACATTTGGTAAGCGCAGTTCTCGTAAACATCACAATTCCAATTTCCAGTAGGCCCACATGTACATGTATTTATTACTCTTCACTATGTAGAATGTATCGCATCATGATCCAAGTCCCCATAGTGTGAAATAATCCAAAACTATGGGCAAAATCTTAATTGAAAAGTACTGAAGATCCAGTGAGACAAAATAAAAGTAAACAACCAACAAAAAAAAAATTAAACTATCATAAAATAGATAAAACATTGATATAAAACGAACCTTTTAGCATGTGTAGTGTGTTGGCCTAGCCGCCTACATAAAAAACTTCCAGAGACTACCAACATGACCAAACACCGCCAAAGTAGTTTAGAATGTTTGGAAGACAAAAAGTTATACATTTTATAATTATAAGCAGGATATTAGGTTTAAGATGAGAAAAAAAAATTGATGTGAAAAAGTAAAAGCACTCAACTGCACATGAATGGCAAAACTGCAAGTATGGTTGGATGTTATTTTTCCCTCTTTACCTGCGTGACCTTGCATTCCTGGATACCCAATATGTGGGGGAGGAACCTGACCATGTTGACTCGGGCCCCCAGGACTCGGTAATTCAGGCCCGACGGTGACGTGCCGTTGCTGTTGTTGTTGTTGTTGCTGTAATTCATGAAGTTGATGCGCTTGCTGCAGCTGCAAAAGGTGAGCTTGCTGCTGTAACAACGACTGAACTGTCACCGATCCGTGACCCAGGTTTGACCCGTTGCCTCCCGGGCTTGGGAATGGCGGTCGCACGGTGCTAAAATCGAACCCCGGCAGGTGTGCAAATTGAGTTGAAGCAGAGCTTGAAGCAGAGTGCGGAACTCCCTGGGTCGTATTCGCTACTGTCGTTGTGGTGGAAATGGGCCCTAAATTCGGTGAATTAACCGGAGTTGACACGACTACCAGTTCACTTTTTACTTTCCCCTCCATCTTTGTCCAAAGTTTCTTGTTGAAACAACCGCACAGAACACATTGGCTAAAAGATGAGTGGGCGGAGATGCCTTTCATCATGTTCACAATTGTTGTTGATTAGTCTTCATTCGTGCCCAACATAAAGAAGGAAAGAATCAGATCACCCATAATAATTATTTCTTAGAACATAAACTATCCCGATTCTAAAAATGTACGTATTTGCCTTAAAGTAGGATTAAAGACCCCCCCCCAAATCTCTTTAGACAGATGCTTTTTAGAGAACATCCTCTATGGTCAACCTTTATGCAGGTGACAGTTATAATATAGTACACTTATCGGCTGAAAGAGAGATCGAGGATGGACAGCGTACAGGAGATATAAAAGCTCCACTTAAGTCTTCAGCTTTAGCGTTTGGCATTTTTCTTTATTGAAATTGCTGCATTGCTACTTATTTTTTTTTCCAAACTGCACAACTATCCCAGCAGGATAAGCTGTAATTGTACCTGCAGATAAATTAGTTTTGGTTGCGTCTTGAATAAAGATTGGGCATTTGTTTAAATAATTCCCAGCTAGAGGGTACTTTTGTTAAGTTCGCGCAATCTCGCGCGCTTTTAATTTAATTCATGCCATGCACATCGCATATCAAGGTATGCACATCACATGCTCGAGTTCAACATGGCCGACGGTGGGGAAGCTGCCGATGTTGGGAGCTCTTTCCCTAAATCGTGGAAGTTTGCCCTGGCAATTGGAGCTCCAATTGCTATTGGGGTAGCAGTTGGGGCTTTCTACTGGCATAAGAGACGGTCTGATTCGCTGGCAGGTGGCAAAGGTGGAAAAACGGACCCGAAAGCCAAGTCTAAGGACACCGGCAACGAAGCTACGGCGGCAACCACCGATGAACGGGTAATAAATTAAGCGACATGATATGACCGGGTATAGCGTGTCATGTGTGTGTGTTAATGCTGAAGTTTTTGGGTCACTTGGTAAACACCTCAAAGAAGCACAGCTGTGTCTTGTTGTGCACTGCACCAACATGCAAGAGATTGACCTTGGGCATTTGTGGATATTTGTGCTGTAAAACTAAAGGAGGGTTGATGTACGTACTTAGGGTTGGGCGTGTTGGCGTGGATGGAATTGAGTAAGCATTATATTCGTATTTTCGTGAAATCTTTCTTTTTATTGGTAACTTGGGCAAAAGTTCCATGTACGGACATCGCTTATTTTCCCTTTTACAGTGCTACTGCTAGTAACTAAAAGCCACCAGAAAGTGATAACCATGCCCCAATAATGTTCAGATGTTCATGCCCAATGTCAAATTTTAGTAAAAATTGAATCGTTCACTTACTTAGAAAACACAATCATGCAGACAAGGTTCATAGGGTTTGTGTTCAAGGTGTCCATGGAAGTTCTTTCCGTGCCTTAGGTGAAACAACTCTCATCGCGCAGTGAAACACCTATTTCAAATTCAATGAATTGAATGCTAGCTTCACTGAAATTTCAAAAATTTAAATTGGAAATTAATTATACTGGGCTTATGCTTGGAGAAAAGGTATTCGTAATGCTATAGGATGTTAATAAATGCTGTCCCAGTTTGTCATAAAAACTGCACTTTATCAATCGAATCTTCCCCCTGAAAGCCGTCAAATCTGAATCATGTCTCTTTAAAACTCATGGGCCACATGTGGTTTTTGGACTGTGTAACCAACTATTTGTGGCATAATTCAGAGCTTTAACTTGCCATCCTGCCTCTCTTCACAAAACGATCTGCACATTTGCATACTTTTGCTGTTTACATGATGCATCATACATGTACCCTGCACTTGCGTCATGAACGTCCAGTATCGCCTGGACCATTTGCAAACTGTGTGAAGAATGCCCTACCATACTCCCCCGCTTCCAGAAAAAAATGGTTGAGCCAAGAAGCCTTCATGTGGAACTTAACAACTTTTTTGACCATGAGACTGACTGTTTTTTAAACAATCAGAATTTTCACTCACCGTTTCTCATTCTCCACCTGATGACGATCACATTTAAGCTAAATTCCCTTTTCGTCGCCATGTTGATTTTAGCGCCCTACGCAAGTAAGTGAACAAAGCTTGAGGGGAACAAATTGTCTACAACAATAACAATCGCGAGCGTCCATTCGCCAAACGTTACACGACGTTGTCATGAATTTGTTCCCCTCTGTTAAATCTTCTGAGCTTGTGCACATGAAACATGAGAAAGGTTTATTATACCATACACTTTGTGTGCATCACACTGCGCATGAATCTGGCCATTGCCCGAGCTAGCTCCGCCTGTTGGTTCAACCAATTTGGGTGGGCAGGGGAGAGATGCCACATTGCAGTGCTTAGTACTCTAAAATTGCCAATGTATAAATACATTAATTACTCGCTGGTCGAGCCACTTGTACATTTCCAAGAAATCACTCTTATTTTGAATAAATATTCATAATCTCTCAACTGTGAAAACCGAAGATTGCATGAAATTTACTTTAAATTAGAAGATTCTAAAAATCTGTTCATCTCATCAAGGCTGATCAAGGTGGTATAAATTCTATGTTGTATCATATTCTATTATTATATTATTTTACCTTCAACAGACAGCGGAAGAGAAAGCTCAAGCAAGTAAGAACAAAGGCAACAAATATTTCAAAGCAGGACGCTATGAGCAAGCCATTGCCTGCTACAACGAGGCCATTGAGCTGGTCCCGGAAGATAAAGTCAAGGACTTGTCCACCTTCTATCAGAACAGAGCAGCGGCACATGAGCAGTTGGTAAGGACAAGATGTAGCTGAAGATTTACATTTACATGGGTCATTCAATGAGGTTGGGGCACAATTTGTAACAGTGTCAATTGTTAAATGGGTTCCATGAAAATGAACAGCTATTTCCCTGCATCTGGTTTCCAAATTGACATTGTTATACATCTTGCAAGGCTGAATACAGTGGTGTGTGTTATTTTCACAGAGTAAATGACCTACTCTACAGGTCATGACAGGTGGTAAAAGTTACCAATGTAACAAGGACACCGTCACAAATTGTGCGCTAACCTCATGGAATGACCCACATAACTTTTCTCTGGGATTTAGCAAATTTCACACTAACCTTTCCTCCTAAATTCTGCAGGCTGTCTAAACTTCAGGTTTAACCACTTGCTACTGGGTGCTTTTTTTAACCCTTATATACGCTGCCGCATATACGCATATTTTCATTTTTCAAAAATCTTCAAAAATTCATATCTTTTTTTCTGAATGCCTAAACCCCATAAAATGAGTGTCCCGTGGTGAGTCTAGCCCTCACAAGCAACTTCCATTGACCCTTCGGTTTTGCAGCCACGCCGCCCACTCTGTATACAGCTCCCATTGTGTAGTGTTACATTAGGGCTTGTTTGTTCCGGGCCTTGTTCCAGCGCGTTGCTATACTGCCGTGTTGCTATGCAGAGCGATTGACGGTCAAGACCTCAGCGTGTAATATGCGGTGAGTGAATGGGAAGCTGTGCACGTGCACTGGGCTTTGTCAACTGTTCAATGAATGCGGGCAATGACGGACAAATGAATTCATGCTGTAAAAAAAGGGGTCTCAAGGTGTGGGTTTTTCGTGGCGCTGCTGCATATAACTTTTGCTATTTTTTGAAGCTATTAGGGTTTTTTCTGTTATATATTTTCCCATCTACCAAACTTATATCTCCCCCAAACCACTCTCATATTTTATCTCCCAACTTGTTCATTTTCCCTCCCACAGTGTAAGTTTTAGTTCAAAATGGATATTTCCCTTCCCAAACTTTATTTCTCCAATAATTTCAAGTAAAATCATAGAAATACACACACAGACAAATATTTGGAGAGAGCTTCTTTTTCTCTTATTTTCTTGTTGTCATTTCTCTCGTGTTTTCTTTTCATTTCTCATTGAAATAGTTGAACTCATAAACATAGTAAAATAAATTTCCACTCTGTCTAATGAAATAAAAAGCAAAACTCGTAAAAAAAAAA